CAGGGCAGGAACACCAAAAAAAAAAAAAAAAAACGCATCTGCTTCTCTATTTGCTTCCTCCCGTTGTGTATCTCTCTGAAAGGACACATAAGGAATTGCTAAGTGATTTCTAGAAGGAGCTGGGTTCGTTTCTGGAACCAAAGTATGAACCATTTTGAAAACTATGCAAAAATAAATTCAATATTTGAAGGCTTATAAATAAAAATAAAATTGGCACATTCGATTTGAAATATTACTGTGAGGAATGTATTCCATAGGAATGCCTGCTCAAGTGAGCAAACACACACACACATACACACACACACATCCCTGCTCACACCCACACTCCTCCTTTGGAGCATTCTGGAGAACATGAGGAATTGCACGGCCACCTGGCTGCCACAAACGATGTGGCAAGCAGTCTGAAGGATGGCTGCCTCTGGGACCAACCCCCACCAAGATAACTGTGCTTTTGTATCATCCTCTCGGCTCGAGAGTGGGCCACATCTAGTAATTTATAATGAACAGAATATGGCAGAGGCAATGGGCTAGATTAAGGTACAAAAAGACTGTGCCACCACAGGCACCCTCTCTTCTGTCTAGAGAAACTGGTCACCACATCCTGAGCTGCCCTAGAAGAGGCTTAATAATGGTAAGAAACCAGAGATCCCAACCCTCAGCAAGCATGGGACCGGACTCCTGGCCCACAGCAAGTGTGGGACAAGGAATGCCTGTTCTCCACCAAGGGCTTGTGGTGGGGTTTGTCATAAATCAACAGATAACCTACAAAAGTAGGTTGGTTGTAGACTTGCAATTCAGCCATGTAATGGACTGTTAATGGCAATCACTTGAAAACAGGACACAGAGCCACAGGTAATGATGTGGACAGGTGACCATTACTTAAGTGGGCCAGGTTGGGGGTGGGGAGCTGAAGAAGAGCATATAGACAAGACCACCTATGTAAAAAGATTAAGAAACTATCAGCCATATGAAATGGTGATACGCCTGTAATCCCAGCAACTCAGGAGGCTGAGGGAGGAGGATCACAAGTTTTAGGCCAGCCTCAGCAACTGTCTCAAAGTTAAAAAAAAAAAAAAAAAAATTAAAGAGGTTGGGGATGTAGCTTGGTGGTAGAGCACCCCTGGGTTCAATCTCCTGTGTCGCACACATACACAAAATTATGATGAAAAACAAATTATGATGAATATTTCCATAATTGCATGCATGTAAATTCAATTTCATATTAGTATGTTTCCTCTGGGGAGGAAAAAAGAACCCCTCCCTATGATGCTGGGAGGGAAGCCAAGGCCTCAAGTATGCTAAGCACAGCTACATCCCACGTCTTTTTTTGTTTTTGAGACAGTCTTTCTAAATTGCTAAGGCTGGCCTCATTGAGTATCCTCCTGCCTCAACCTCTGGAGTCCCTGGGAGTACATGTGTACACTACCATGCCTGGCTGTAACTCAGTTATGTTTTAAAAACCAAGACTGTGAAAACACATACTAGTGACTTTTGTGTACCTCAAAACAAATACTCCTACCTGCTCTTCTTAAGTGTAAGTTTTCCTCGGGGATGGTGAGTGGCAGTCATTCACCTGAGATAGACTTAAAAGGATTAATGAGCCAATGTTTTACCATTTTAAGCTCAGACTGTTTTCTTTCTAATCATGCCCAGCCACTCTTGCCAGACCTACTCCTTTGGGAGTTTCATGAGTTCCCAGCCTTGCCTTCAGCCACAGGCACATGAACCCACAAGAAATCTGGTCAAATTGGTCAAAAATGAAATGTTTCCAACCAGTCACACTCTGAGCCTTCACAGGCTCAACAGTGATTTCTTCTTTTTTTCAACGCTGGTGATCAAACCCAGGGTCGGGCACATGTTAGGCAAACGCTCTACCACTCTACCATCCCCAGGCTCTTTAAAATTTTCAAACAGCGTCTTGGTAAGTTGCCCACTTGGCTTCAAACTTGCCATTCTCCTGCCTCAGCCTCCCAAGTTGCTGGAGTCACAGGCCTGCCACTGCACCTGGCTGTTATACAGATTTCGGTGTTGCGGGTAGTGTGGCCCACGTTTTGCTTCTAAGAGTGATTCTGGCTAACAATGGCTGTCACCACCTCTCCTGTCAGGGACTGGGGCAGGCCAGAAAATTTGTTTCTTGGGATAATTCTAGGAGATACTCACAATTTGATATATGGGAAAAGTGAGGCTCAGAGAGAGACAGGTCTGAGTTCATGGGTGCAGAAACGGGGGGTCAAGTCCAACTGTTCTATTTCTTCTATACTCACATAGCTTCAGTGGTTCCTTGTGTTCTGAGAACTGCTTCCCCCACAGACCTGTTGCCTCAGTGCTGGCCAGTTTTCAGGGGCTCACTGACACCTGCATGGTGACATGGGGAGAGGAGATCCACATCTGGATCCGCTCTGCAGGTGTTCTTCTGCCTCACGGGGAGTGTTCAGGGCACAATCAGGCCACAATAGTCCCTGTGGCTCATCTGAGTGTTAAGGTCAGGAAGGCCTCACTGGCCAGAGATGGCCAAACTGGCAACTAGAAACATTTCTTTTTGACCAAGTTGTTTTGGATCTAATCCCAGGTTTCCCCACAGGGATTCCACCTCCAAGAAGCAGCACAGGCTGCTTCCAACCCCTCCTCTTTTCCCCTTCCAGCAGATACTGACACAACAGATCACTCCCTCCTCAGAAAACCGCTCGGCTTCCACAACACCACACTTGCCTGGTTCTCCTTCTGTCTTCTGGCTCCCTGCCCACCCTTACACGTGGGTCTTTCTCAGGGTTCTGCCCTTGTCCTGGGGTCTTCTTCTTCCAGAGGTCGCAAAATGGTGGCCCAATGGCCTCATGAGACCCACAAACAGATTTTGTTTGGTCCTCCGTGTTTTTGTTTTTAATTTGAAGGCCATTAGGCAGGGCAAGCACTCTCCAAGTTCGCCACGGTCCCCATCATTCCCTATTGTCTTACACCCGTCCGCGTCACACATTTTCATCACCTGCCTGGTCCCTTAAGTCATCTGAGTTACTACACAGACTGCCTGGGAAGTCTCACCACCTTCATGTCTTAGAGTGTCTCCTACTCCATCTTTCTTATGCATCAGAATCACCTTGGGAGCTTGTATCAAATGTGGGTTCCCAGCCCCCTCAAGGCCCCAGATTCAATCCAGCTGCTCTGGAGCAGGGATTTGGGAAGCTCAAATGCCTCCAAGGCCAGGCGGGTCACAGAAATGAGTGAACTGTCAGGCATAAGAAAAGTCGATGGCCAGAAATATAATCAAATTGGATCTTTACTGAACTATGGTGAAGGCATGGAACATAATACAAACATGTATGATACTGGAGTTTATATTTTAAATTCAAAATTGAAAAAATACAAATTGAAAAATAGAAATATTTAATTATTAAAATTTTTTTCTTTTGTTATTCTTTTGCTCCTTTGAGCTGAGGCTGGGAGGCCGACATCTTCCCTTCCACACCAAGTTGTCGGTGTCAGCGAGGGTGATGGCACAGTGGGACAGCAGTTAGGAATTCAACCTTGAATCCTTCAACTGGAAGCGGTAGTTTTTTCAGGTTCATAACGGAAGCAGCTGGCTTTTCACACATGTGGGTACCCCAAATATGGACATTCGGGTCAACTTCTAGACAGTGGCAGAATCTCCCAATCTTCCAAAACAACTCCATCTAGGAACCAGTGCCCATCGCACTGCAGTTTAGAAACTACTACTCTACTCGATCCACACCCACCAACAAACGCAAACCAGACGGTGTGAGTTCGTTTTCACAAAGTGTGGATGCAGGAAGCCTCTGGGGACTTGATTTCTGACCCCACAATCTGGGGGGATGCAGTCCGGGCCACCACTTTCAAGAAACCAACTGTAGCAAAGGAAAAGGTGCCAAATTATTCTTTGCCAGTGGCTTCCCCCTTTTTGCAGGACTGGGCCAGTACTATCATACATTCAAGGAGTGGTTTGTGAATGTTTCTACAGAGACACATTCAGTGTTCAAAGAGTTGTAACCTTGACCAGAAGTCTCCAACTGACCTTATTAGGAGGTGTGGCTTTTGTGTAACCTGAAATGAACCCAGATGATGAACTTCAGCAGTTGGCGTTCTTCCACACCCAGGTTGTGGCGCTTCTGTGAAACACACCTGGTCAAGCCACCATCAACCCACCGGTGGCCAAACAGAGGCTGTAAGTGTCAAGGGCCTCCGTGGTGGGCTCTACTGAGCTTCTCAGAACTATTCAATGCCTGGTGATTGAGGCAAGGACCTGACCTCTATGTCCTTGCCAAATGCTGCCACTTTGGATCAAGGCACCTGGACACATCCCCCAGTGACAGCTTTACTACAACTGTCTGTAGCTGTGCTTAAGAATTCTGACCAGGACATATGAAACTCTTCAATTCTCTCTTTACACAAAAAGTAAGCCATCCCCCAGCGCTGGGCCTGCCTCGGCACCACATCACAGACTTCTTCGGTCACATCAAAATTCTCAACACCACAAATAAATAAAGCTAACTGGATGGTAATAGTTTATGAGCAGCGATAGGAAAAGGCCACAATTGATTCAATTCTTTGAGGCAACTGGACTTGTAAAGCCTTTTGATTTATCTTCAATTCACTGTGCGACAAAAATGCCCATTAGACTCGAGCAACAGTTGGCACAGCGGTGCTGCTGTCCTGGACGCTAGCCTGCTCCTCTTTACCAACTCACAATCCGCTGCAGGTTTTAATGCCCAGGTCGTTCTTCTCATGTCATTTCAGAACTGCTCCTGGCAGCCGTCCGCTTCTATTCTTCAGTCTCCAAAGCAAACCCTACTGACACTTGAGTCCCTTTTTCAGTTCGCTGAGGATCGCGTCCCGGGTCTGCTCTGTGTACTGGTCGAAGCTCTTACTGTGCCGGGACTCGTAATGGCGTTTCAGGTTGTACTCTTTCAACACAGACATGATTTTTTTGCATATTAAACACGTAGGCATGCTCTTCACTTCCACAAAGAAATAGTCTCGTTCCCATTTTTCTCGAAACACGCGGCCCTCTCCTTCTCTCTTTCGTTTTGCCGCTTTTGACAGAGACATGGGTACAAGAAAGATTTCACTTTTCTCTGAACACTACCACAGAACAACCACAGTGCCAGCCCAGTGACAAAGGCAGTGCCCTGCTGCCTCCTGGTGGGGGAGGAAGAGGGAGTGGTGGGGACTTTGGCGAACTGGAGAGCACACGCCCCACTGAAAGGGGCAGCTCCAGCCAGCTATTGCCGGGCAGAAGGGTGGGCCCCAGGGTGCCAGATCTTCCAACTTATCAAGAGGAGCCAAGACTGCAGATTGTTTGAGTATGTGTGTATGTGTGTGAGAGAGAGAGTGTGTGTAAGAGAGAATTATCCCAATTTTTACAACTAACTCGTAAGAAAAAAAAAGTGCCACATTTGCTAACACAGGAAGGCCAAACAAAACTCATCTGCAGAGTGGCCCAAGGGCCACCAGATTGCAACCTCTCTCCTGGGACAACCCGTGAACCTGTCTTGCTATGCAGCATCCCAAAGCTGGGTGGCTGTGGTCCAGGTGCGGACCACACTGAACAATTAGCTTCTGGAGTCTGACGACGGACAGCTCGCTCTGCACGGGGGAGACGGCCTGTGCCCCAGACCCTCCTGTATCCAGCTGCTCCAGACAGCTGACATTCTTCAAGACCCTCGCCTCACCAAGTCTCACTCAGCCCTGTTCCTTGTCAGGTCTTCCACTCAGGGATGGCCCCACTCTTTGCCTCATCCGTAACCACAGCAGGTTGGTCTCTGACTGGGGCCCAGGGCCTGCCCTCTCTTCCCATGCAATCTTACAGACTCCTTTTGTGTCAAGCACCAAGCACACACTGTCCCTAAAGACATGTCCTGAGCTTCCATCATGGCATCTGTCCCTTTGACGTCGCTTGGACTACTGACACTCACCATCTGACATCACCCAGGCCTGGCCCTGAGAGCTGACCTTGCCCCTACCCCACCTTCTCAGTTTCAACCTTCCTGCCTCCTGTCCTACCTCAACACGGTGCGTAGCCCAGAGGGATATGACAACAGGACCGGCCCAGACTTGCCCCTGGCTCAGAGCCTCTCATGGCCTGGTGTCCCTCAAGCTGCCCAGTTTGGAATCTGAGACTCTCAAGTTCTGTCACGTGCCTAGTACTCTAGCTCCTCCCTCCCTCCCTCACACTCACAAACCAGAAGCATCCACTGTCCGGCTCTGCCCCTGCTTCCTCCTACCGCCATATGTGTCCCCTTTTGCTACTCTCATACCGAGGTCCCCCCTAGCCTTGCTAATTGCTGCTTCTCTTTCCAGACTCCACAGGGGCCTGGCTAGGTCAGATGTTCTCCTGAGTGTCTTCTACAACCTCCCCAAGAGCACGTGCTGCCAAGTGCTGCCTGCCTCCTAGTCTCCCCCAGAACCCAGCTGCACCAGACTGTCTCGGACTCACTGCCGAGACAAGACCGGGCATCATCCAGCCCAGGGCCCAGGAAGTCTGCTGAAGTGAGAACAAGGACAGAGATGTCTCCCCAGGTCTCTTCCTGCCCAGTCCTGGGGGACGTCAGTGACGGGAGCCGGGGTGTGTGTTAAAAGGAACTTTATTGGGTGATGGGGGTTCAGATGAGATCCATGAGGATGTCGTCCTCCATGACGCTGGGCTGCAGGCCCGGTTGGGGAACCGGGCCCCGGGGACCCCCGCTCAGCAGCATCTGACCTGGGGGGCAGTGGGGAAGGGACTGCATCTCCCAGTAGACCCTGGGCCGTGGAGGGCCCTGGGCCTGCTTCCTCCCTCCTCCTTTGGGAGCCCAAGGCACTAAAGTATCTAGGAAGTCCTGAGGGACCAATCAGAAGCACCTTCTGACCCCTTCTGGTTGCAAATACACTATTTCCCATAAGCCTTTGGGAGCCCATTCCCTAAACTACTTCTCTGGCCCAAGATCATGTTTTCCAGCACCCCCAGGACACTTGAGAGAAGAGCAGGGAAAGAGTTCTCCTCCCATTAGGGCCTTGGTCCCATTGGCTACACTTCCCAGTCACCCTCAGAGCCCCCAAGGGCCACAGGGTATTGGCGTTCTTGCACAGGGGATGCTGGGACACTCGGTCCAGATCCCTGCCCTCCCCCGGAACCCCCTTACCTGGCAGTGGTGCCCGTGGGGGAAGCTGTGTGGGCCAGGACTGGGTGGGTGGTGGATGCAGAAGTGGTGGCCCCAGTTGGGGCTGCCCCAGGCTCTGATGCGGTGGGGGCAGCAGTGCAGGAGCCCCTGGTGGCTGGAGGTGATGGAGGGAGGCCTGGGGTGGGGGCACCCCTGTCTGGGGCTAGGGGAACACAGAGTGGCTCAGAGGCCCCAGGTGGAGAGCTGCCACCTCCCACCATCCTGCCTCTGCCTGAAAGGCTGCTCAGAGGAGTCTCAGTCTGCAGTCTGGGAGGTCTTTGTCCTGCTGGGAGCCCTCTTGGGTCTCCATTCAAACCCTGACCAAAGTCAAAGTTCCTCCTCCCAGAGGAAAGCCCCAAACCACTGGGGCCAGGGTCTACAGACCCCGGCTATCCCCACCCCCAAATCTCACCGGTGGTGGGTTGAGGAGGAGGCTCCGTAGCTGAGGGTTGGCCCCAGGATTCTGGGGTCGAAGAATGGGTCCAGGAGGGGGTGGGCCAGGGGCTGCTCCAGGAGGGCCTTGGGGAGCCCCTGGGGGCGCCTGGGTGGTACCCTGGGGCTGAGGTTGCCCTGTGGCCCCAGAAGCCCCGACAGTTCCCTGAGGCTGGGGCTGAGGTGGGCGGAGCTGGAGCTGGTGGGAAAAGAGATGGGGGTGAGGGAGAAGAGCAAAGTCCCCAGACCCTGGGCCTGGGAACCAGTGGCATCCTGTGGGGCCATCCTAACCCATCCCTACCAGCCCTGTCCTCACCAGATTCTGCGAGGGCCTCGCTTGGTCCTCCAGAATGGGGCCCAGACCAGGGGGTGCCTGCTGCCCCCCCATCTGCACAGGGAGAAAGAGAAGAGATCAGTGACAGGGAAGGAGTGGTCCTGAACCCAAGCTGGGTTAGATCTGAGCACACATGGAGTTGGGAACTTTCTCTTGGAGCATAGCAGTCTGATAGCAAGTCACACACTCCCAGGTCCCTGAGAGGACACCACACATCAGGGGTTTCATGTGGACATGGAAGATGTGAGAGGACTGCCAGGAAAGGTGAGGGTGTCCTGGAACTTGGGGGCCATGTCTTGGCAAAAGGACCATCTGAGTTCTGGGGCCCAAGCAGAAAGGGGCAGGATGCTGGGTGAAGATGCTGCTCACCCCTCGCTGCTGCTCCAGCTTCTGCTGCTGGACCTGTTTGTGGTTAGTGATGACCTGCCGGATGCCGTTGACGAAGCCGCTCTGGTCATAGGGGATGAGGCCCATGAAGATCTTCTTCTTGGACGAGTACAGGAGCATGAGCACGCGCACCTCACAGGGGGCCGTGTGAGGAAAGTGCACGCAGCCTGCCTGCAGACAGAGGCTCTTCAGAACTGTTCAACCCTCGGGAGGCAGCACCCCATCCCTCCCCATTCTAGAAGGTGCTAGAAGTAGTGAGGTTTCTACCATACATTTGAGGAGAGGTCTGCTGTGGGGTGGCTCCAGGAGGACTTAAGGGGTGAACCCGGTACTCAAAGGGCAGAGCAAGACTGGGGTTCCTGTCAAGTGCTAAGAAGTCGTGAAAGAAAGGACCCAGATACAAGATAGGATCCAGCACTCTGACCTTGACCCAGTTACCACGTATGTCTCATTTCCTTGGCCACAAAATGCCAGGGCTGCCTCCTCACAGGGCTTCTGGAAGGAGGCCCAGTGATGAGTGAAGGGCCCGAAGGCCTGTTATGGTAAAGGCAAACCCAAGAGAGCTCAGCGGGCGATCATGCTGCACTCCGCCTTGGTATCTGCCAGTGCAAAACAAGGCAAGTGACACTGACATGTCAGGGACATCTGGTACACATCAAGCTCCCTGCCCACCGCTCACCCCAGAGCAAACACTCCTGTCCTCAGTGCTGGCAATCACACTGAGTGTTCCCAGCAGGGCTCTTAGGTTGGAACTGGCCTTAACAGCCTCAGCCTCCTCCTGAGGCAGGCCTGCTCATGCCTACGCAGTGGCCATGGGTCCCTCTTCCCCGCAGAGCCCAGTGCTATTCAGGGAAACAATGTGCCCTTCCCCCACTCCTGCCTCCTCTGCAACTAGGGGTCTGGCCCCAGAGATGGAAAGGAGGCCTGCCAGAGGTTCTAGAACATTTTCTGGTTTCCTGAAGAATGGGAAGTACACAGTCGAGGCTCCTGCCCTTGCCTTCCTTCATCAAGTATACAGGATGCCTGGAAACGAGAACCAACCTGTGACCATGAGGGAGAGGCCAAAGAGCCACAGAAACCCTGGTCTTGGTGTCAACAGAGCTGCAGAACTAACCCCTAAAGCTGCCCATTTCCAAGGTTCCTATTCTGTGACAAAAATGAACACTTGCTCTTGGAACACTCCCTCTCCAAACCCAGTTGCCACACTGTGAGGAAGACTAAGCCACACACTTGGGCCACGTACAGATGTACTGATTGACGATTCCAGAGGACAGCCAGGAGCAGGTCAGCGGGCCAGTGTGAACACCCAGCCCAGTTCAGCTTCCAGATGATCAAGTCTCGACTGCCATGGGATGGCAACCACATGAAGAACCCCCAAGCCTGACCCACAAAATCGTGAAAGGTAACATGTTCGTGAGCCAATGACTTATTTCTTGGGAAAACTATAGCTGAAAGTGTTCCTAGCTCTCACAAACATCATCTTCATGGTTTTTGTGTATGTGGTACTGTGGGATGATCCCAGTGGGTTTGTTTTTGTTTTCAGATAGCTCTCAATAGCTGCCAAAGCTAGCCTCCAACTTGCAAACCTCTGCCTCAGCCTCCCAAGTTACTAGAACCATAGGCATACACCTCCACACTTGGAGCCTTGGTGGTTTCTGAGAGGCTTCCATGAGGTAGTCCATCTAAAGGCCTCGCTCCTAGGAAGTGACAGTGCATAGGAAGTCACTGGATTTGCTCCTGTACTAAAAGGCCCTCCTCCGTGTTAGGACTTGTTGAAGTCCTAATCCTCTAGCACCTCTGAAGGTGACCCTATTTGGAAACAGATTTTTTTGCAAATGCAACCGGATGGGGTCATTAGGGTAGGCCCCAATCCAATATGGCTTATGTCCTGATAAGAAGACAGGCCGAGGGGGTGCAGTTCAGTATTAGAGTACTTGCCTAACATGTATGAGGCCTTGCTTGGGTTCAATCTCTGAAGAAAAAAAAAAAAAAAAAAAAAAAAAGGACAAAAAAAAAAAAAAAAAAAAAAAGGACACAGACACACTTCAAAGCCATGTGAAACATGAAGACAGGCCTGAGTTTGGACGGAATGATGCTGCCTGACGTCAGAGGTTCCCAGCTGGAGGAGCAGTAAGAGGGTTCCCTAGAACCTTCAGAGAGTATGGCCCTGCCTCCCGCTCATCTGCAGCTTCTGGTCTCCAAAACCACTAGACAATAAGTTGCTGTTCTAAGTCCCTCAATTTGGGACCATGTGTTACAGCAGCCAGAGGAAACAAACATAGCCAACGAGCCTGTCAGAATCAATGGCATCCTCCTAACTGATCCTGTCACACCATGGTCACACTGTCACTACGGGATTTACCTCAATCTATAATATAAATATGACAAAAGTGAAGAATCTGGGAGAAAGGGGGAGCCCAAGCTCACTAAGCCTATCACCCTCAAACATGGCTGCAGGCTGGGGTACACCAGAGGTACAGTAGCACTTGCCTACCATGTGCAAGGTCTGCATTCCATCCCCAGCACCACAAAAAGAGAAGAGCTCCTAGGCCCAGCACCCTGAGGGTCCCTGTCAAAGGCCAGAAGCTGACCGGGGAGCCAGGGCTCAACGTCCCTGCCGAGGACTCACAAAGCCATTGCCCATAATGCGGTAGAGGCCTTTGAGGGACTCCAGGTCCTTGTTGGTGAAGTGGAACTGGACCATCCTCGAATTCCGGAACAGAGGGCCCAGGGTGGTCTGGGGGACACAGAAGTCAGCGTGTGGGGAGTGAGGAGGGGGTAAGGAGGCAGGGAAGAGATGGGGAACAGGGTGGGTGCCAACCAACAGCTGGGCAGTCCCCTCCTCCACCACTCACCAGCAGTTGCTGGGGGATAAGCTGCATGATCAGCTTCTGGGGCCACTGCTCAGTCTTCCTGGGGGCAAGGCCAAAGAGGGGTCAGAAGGGTGCAAACCCCAGCTGCGCCCCACCCCCACCGACAGTCACCTACAGGTTCTCTCCATGATTCACATAGACCTGGCAGGGCAGTGACCGTGTCAGCTTGGTGTTGGCATCCACCGAGGCAGGCTTGGGTTTCTGCAGGGAGAAGGATGTCACAGTAAAAAGGGCCAGAGCCTCAGTTATTTCCCCCTTCTGTGCCACTCTGGTAGTTCCAAAGCTCAAGTTGTCCCTCAGTTTAGCCCCCACAAACCCTGCGCTCCTCCACCACCCATCCCATGCTCCTCTAACCTCTAAATTGCACAAATGTTAGGGCTCCTCCTCTGGCCCAAACTCCATCATCTATTTTCCTGCAACGTCACACTGCCTGGGGCATCTCTCTGGATCCCAGATCCTAGGCTTTCCTGGGTTCTCCACTTCAATACAACTCTTAAACTCCCCCAGTTCTAAACTCTGAGCCACAAATCCCATGTTTCCTTGGGACTCTCCGCTGGCCACAGGTCCCCAGGCCTGACCCTCCATTCCACATGCACAATGGACCTGCAAGCCCACTTACCTCCTGCCACTCGAGAACCCCACTCCAGGCCAGGAGTTTATTAGAGACTGACTGTTGCCCACCGAGGGCTGGAGCCCCAAGCTGCGCTGGTGAAGGGCCACTTACTCCACCTGGGGCCACGGTGCCTGCCTGCAAAGGAAAACAGAGGCAAGGAGTGGGGCCAGACCATCTCCTGGGGGAAAAGGCAAGGTGAGTGGGACAAAGGTCTCTTCCTCTACACATGTCCAATAGCACATGGCCACTCATCCTCCAAGCCTGCAGCACACGAGGACTCTCTGGTTCCATGATGCCTGGCCTCCTCCGAACAGTTCTGACACACATGAAACCTCTCGCCTCACAGCACATAGGACATGCTCCTTGAACCCTGGCAGCCCTAAGCCACAAGGCCACGTCCCTGGACACTATTCAGAAGGTAAACGGCTCCTCTCACCATCTTCACCCTATGCAGCCAAGAGAAATAGAGCGGCGAAGTAGGCACCTGGACACCTACCATGGATGGCGCCCCAGGCTGTGCCGGAGGGGCCAGGCCGGGGCCAGGAGCCACAGTGGAGACCAGGCTGGGCTGGGAAGCAGGAGGTGGCTTGGGAGCACCAGGGGGTCCTGGGGGTAGCGGAGGGGCCGGGGCCTGGCTGAAGGGGGGCCCCACTCCTGAGGCTGCTTGCTGAAGCGGATTGATGGGCGAGACTGTGGGAGAGATCAAGGGAGCAAGTGGAGAACAGAGGCACAGAAAAGGGCCTGCCTACCCCCTGCCACCATCTTCACCCCACCACTCACAGCGCGGGCCCAGCCCAGCCTTCTGGTTCTTAGCAGCCTCCACTGCGTTCTGGGCAGCCACCTGAGCCGCACTCAGATTCCCAGGGACCTGGGAACAGAGGGAAGGGGGCTGGAGAGGACCACACACCCAGTCCTTGTGGGCCAACAGCCCCACAGAGCACACCACCCTAGCTACAGTGTCTCCTAGGAGCTCAGAACTCCCATCACCAGCCCCAACAACCTCACCCTCTCAATGTCCCAGGCTTGTCCCACCCCACACACCCCACCATTCAATTAGGTCTATCCCACGAGGCCCTGGCTCCTGCAAAGCCCCAGGAGCAGGCCTGTCCTGGCGACATCCATACCTGGTACTGTGGTGGGACTGGGGGCAGGGACTGCTGGGGTGCAGCGGACAGTGTGGCACCTGAAGGGGCAGCAGGAGGCAGAGGGACTGGCTGCTTGGGCTGGAGGGGGCCTGGGGCTGAGCCACCCCCAACTGTGAGCAGGATGCAGGATCAGGCCCCCAGGAGAAAAAGTTGGAGGTGAAGAGGGGGAAGAGAAATCCAAAATCCCAGTCAGAGTGAGCTGAGAAAACCCCCCAAGCCCCCACCCTACCACCCTGGGCCTCACCAGGCAGCACCAGCCCCCGAACCAGCACCATGTGCCTCGGGTCCTGGCTCACGTCTGTCGGAGGCTGCAGAGGCTCCAGCAAGGCTGGGGGAGCCGCCTTCTCAAATAGGAGCCGCAGGGCAGGCAGCTTTCGAGGAGACACAATGGAGAAATGGATCCCGCGCTGCAGGAAGAGGGATGGGTCAAGACAGGGCCCCACCATAAGGCTGCAGGAGCCAGCGCCCATGGAACCACACCACGGTGACTAGATGACCTGGGCCCTCGAATTATTAATTCCCACCAGGCTATGAGACAGAAGGTGAGGAGATCTGGTATTAGTTGCCCCAGGGGACTCTGGGATATAATTCTTTCAACAAGCCTAAGTAAATAGCTGGCCAAAGAGTCCCCAACGGTTCTGTGAGCCCAGACCCCAGCCCTGCTCCCTCAGGCCAGAGGTCCTCACCTCCCCAATCTGCTGGACGAGGCTCTCAGTCGTGTACCCCGAGTATGTGGTGCTCTCAACAGCAGGCAGCAGATATGGGGGTGAGTTGCAGATAAGGAGACATACTCGGTGTGTCTGGCCACTACCAGGGACAAGACAAGACATGGAGCAGGCCACAACAGGGGCTCTGAGACGGGACCCAGACCTAGCACCAGCAAGGTTCATACACTCCACCCACAAGAAACCGAAAATAATACTACCTTACAACTGATGACACTGTGGCTCTGAGGGGTTCAGGAACTGAGGCACCCCAGAAAAGGCAGGCAGGAGGAATTCAGAGCTGAGGCCTCCTCTTGATAAGGGGACACATTTCCTCCCTCCCTCCTCCCCAGGGTGAGGCTAGAGGTGGAGTCACAGGACATGCTATGTACAAACAGATGAGGAGGGGCTAGCAGGGGTCAACAGGACTCACATCTGCTCCCGCATCTTCTTGAAGTCATCAAACAGCTGCAGGGCTGTGCTGAGGCCTTCTGCGATGAGGCTACAGCTCTCTCCGCCCCCACCCATGAACCTGCAGGGTGCCAGGCAGTCAGCCCCAGGGTGTCCCCGACACCTGAAGCTGCTAGCATCCCAGCCCTGCACACAGGACTGTGCACCTTGGGACAACGGGACACAGTTCTCTGCTCCATCCCTGGTGCTGGTGGGGTCCCAGGCTGAGAAGAACAGGAGACACTTGACCTTTTAATTATGAGGCCTGGGAAGGAGACCTTCAGTATAGGAAATCATAAAGCACCCAGGTAACCATGCCTGGGCCTCTATGCTGTGTCCCAGTCCCAGTGTGACTAACCCCTATCTGTGTCCTGCCATCCGTCTCTAGGCCATGTGCCTCATCATTAAAGCAGCCCTGGCTTCACTTCTCCTTCCCAACCAAGTGAGGGGGGCTTCCTGTCCACCTAGTGCTATGGGTTGAAATATGTCTCCCCAATGACGGGCTGAGGTCCTAACCCACAGAGCCTCAGCATGTGACCTTATCGGAAACAGGGCTTTTTTGTTTATTTTTTTGTGCTGAGGTTGGAACTCAGTATCGGACATGTTGGGCCAGGGCTCTCCCACTGAGCTATATCCTCACCCTGGAGAAAGGGTGGTGTTGGAGGGAAGTGAAGATCGTCAGGGGACCCTAATCCAATGTGACTAGTGTCTATGAAAAGGAAAAGTTTGGACAGACACACAGAGAGATGACGGATAGACACAGGAGGAGGTGGTACGAAGACTGGGTGGCGCTGAAGCCAGGCAAGACATGCCTGGAAGCAGCCAGGACGGACCCTTGCCCTACAGATTTCAGAGGGAGCTTGGCCCTGCTGGCACCTTGATCTTGACTTCCATCTTTTAGAGCCTCAGACAATTCAGCAGCCTAGGAAACTCACACACACACTAGAGTTCCATGCACCTAGACTGCCCCCATATTGGGGTGGCCCAGGGAAGCATCCCACCCAGCACAGCTCCTGCAGCCACCATTCTTCAGGCTGATTTTGCCTCAGAGAACATGCGTGCAGACCAGAGGGCACCAGCCCCTGAACTGTGGTCTCGACATCCATGTCTGCTCCCATGTTCCCCACAGGCAGGAACGGGATGTCTGAATCTTCGCTTTTCCCCAGCCCTATCCACCACAGCCTGGCATGTGGAGACCTCTGGGAAATGTGTTAAATAAACGAATGGTTACCCAGCCAACAGGGCCTGCCAAGGCTGGATCAGTTGCGTGCCTTCAGCCAAGCACCTAGAGGCCTACATGCCCCAAGCCGCCTAGCTCTGCCTTTCCACGTCCTCTGCCTGTGCAGCCTCCAGACCTCTCACACTCTGAGGTCCCCACTCCTGCTCCACCTGCACTAGCTCAGACTCTAGCCTCAACAGAACCCTAATTCATGTATTCTGTGACACTCCGCCCAGCGTGTTCTCCTCCAGGAAGCTTGCCCACTGCCACCTCAATCACATTACAAGTCACCTGACACTACGGCTGCCCTGCTTCCTTCCACAGCCACCCCCTGCCATACCTGGACTGGCAGTCCTCAGTGAGGGAGTCCACGTCATCTCTATAAAATGCACCCCAGATGACACAGGCTTTGAACAATCCCACCAGCGGCCTGCTGTTCCCCACCCACCTTCACAGGCTGATTTCTTTCCAGTCTCACTTGGCCTGGGAGCTCCGGACCTCAGGTCCTTTCTCCCCATCTCAGGACCCTTGGCCCCCACTGTTGCTCCTTCCCACCCACTCCCTGGCCTCCTCTTCCTCATCTGCAAGGCTGTTTTCCACAGGAATTTTAAGGCCACAGATAGGGGTGGACCTCACCCAAAGAACCAATCCTAGAGTTTGCTGTCTGGATTCCCGCCATGCAAGAAAGCAAACCATAAAAAAAAAAAAAAAAAAGAAAGCAAACCATGGGGTCAGACGCAGTCACGCCTGTAATCCCAGAAGCTGGGAGGCTCAGGCAAGAGGATCACAAATTCAAGGCTAGCCTCAGCAACTTAGCTAGTTCCTGTGTCAAAATAAAAAATTAAAACGGGCCTGGAGGGGCTGGGTTGTGGCTAAGCAGTAGATGCTTGCCTAGCACGTTCGAGACGCTGGGTTCAATCTTTAGTACCACATGGGATGTGGCTCAGCAGTAGAGAGCTCGCCTAGCATGTTTGAGGCCCTGGGTCGATGGTTCAATCCTCAGCACCACATAAAAATAAACAAAGATATTGTGTACAATTACAACTAAAAAATAAATATTTAAAATAAATAAATAAAAAGTATTATGTCCAACTACAACTAAAAAATATACATATTTTTTTAAAAAAGGGTTCTGGGGTTGTAGCTCAGTGGTAGAGCCTTGCATGCCTGAGGCACTGAATTCAATCCTCATCAACACAGACAGATTAGATATAGATAGACAGACATATAGATAGGGCTGGGTTGTGGCTCAGCAGTAGAGCACTCGCCTAGCACAGGTGCAGGATTGATCCCCAGCACCACAATAAATAAACAAAATAAAGGTATGTGCCTAACTACAACTAAAATAAATAAATAAAAATATTTTTTTAGATAATCTTTTTTTAATATTTATTTTTTAGATGTAGATGGACACAACACAATGCCTTTATTTTTATGTGGTGCTGTGGATCGAACCCGAGTCCCGCCCATGCTAGGCGAGTGCTCTAACTGCTGAGCCACAATCCCAGCCCAACTAAAAATATTTTTGAAAAATAAAATAGGGGCTGGGGTGGTGGCTCAGTGAAGGAGCACTTGCCTAGCATGTGTGAGGCACTGGATTTGATTCTCAGCACCGCATATAAATAAATAAAGGTCCACTAACAACTAAAAAATATTTTTAAAAAATAAATAAAATGAAGCCTAGTTTGATGGTGCATGCCTGTAATCCTAGCATCTCAGGAGGCTCAGGCAGGAGGATCACAAGTTCAAAGCCAGCCTCAGCAAAAAGTGAGGCACTAAGCAACTCAACAAGACCTTGCCTCTAATAAAATACAAAATTGGACTGGGGATGTGGCTCAGTGGTTGAGTGTCCCTGAGTTCAATCCCTGGTACCTGAAAAAATTACTTAATTAATTAAAATAAATAAAAATTGTGGGATGTAGCTTAGTGGTGAAGCACCACTGGGTTCAATTCACAGTACAAAAAAAAAAAAAATCAAACAATTACTTTGGGGGAGCCTTTTTAGACTTGAGCCAAGTGCTTTGTCAGGGGCTGGGAGGAATGAGGAGCAATTTTCTCATGCATGTGTTATCTCCTTTTGGGTGATGAAAACATTTTGGATTGAGACAGAGGTGAGAGGTGCACAACATTGTAACAGTCCCAAATGCTGCCAAATCATACTCCTTTAGATTTTTGCTTTGTTTTGTTGGGATACTGGGGATTGAACCCAGGGCACTTAACCACTGAGCCACATTCCCAGCCCTTTTTCTTATATTTTATAGACAGGATCTTGCTGAGTTTCTTGGGGTCTTGCTAAGTTGCTGAGGCTGGCTTTAAACTCACAAACCTCATGCCTCAGCCTCCCAGGTCGCTAGGATTACAGGCATGCGCTACTATGCCTGGCTAAAACCTGCTTTTGTTTTTTTTCCCCAAGAGAATGAAAGAGGCAGAAGTGCCTTTTTTTTTCTTAATAGTTGTCGATGGACAGCATGCTTTATTTTATTTATTTATGTGGTGCTGAGGGTTGAACCCAGTGCCTCACACATGCTAGGCAAGTGCTCTGACACTGAACCACAACTCAGCCCCTAAAACCTGCTTTTTCTTAATGAACATTGAGAAGAAATTATGTTACCAGCTCCAAGAGACTGCCAAGCACAAGGAAAACTTGAAAATGGGGAGCAAAACTATGACTTAAAAACTATGACTTAAAATGTGACTTAAATATGGTCAAATTTATGATAAATCTTATTCCCATATAAATCCAAACAGAAAACAGAAAGAGGCTGAAGGTGTAACTTGGTGGTAGAGCCCAAGTTCAATACACAGCACCAAAAAAATCAAATCAAATAAAGGCACCTCTGGACACTGTGGCACTTGCCTAGAATCCCAGTAGCTTGGGAGGTTGATGCAGGAGAATTCTAAGTTTGAGGTCAGCCTCTGCAATTTATCAAGAGCCTATCTCAAGATGAAAAATAAAAAGGCTGGGAATACAGCTCAATGTTAAGAGCCTCTCTGAATTCAACCTCCAATATCACAAAAAACAACAAAAAAATGAATACTAGTTCCACAAGAGCCAGAACCTGGCCTGTCTTGTGCCATGTGTGCCACAAACATTTGTTCAATTAATGAACAAATGAGCTGCCACAATGCTCCAGGGAGGATACTCAGGTGTACTTTCCTTCCACCTCTACTTTTTCTGACTCTAGGTCAGATTTATTTTTCCTAGGAGAGGGAAAAAACTGTCCTCTTATAAGAATGTTTTTTTTTTTTTTTTTTTTGGTGCTGAGGATTGAACCCAGGGCCTTGTGCATGCAAGAAAAGCATTCTACCAACTGAGCTATACCCCCAGCCCCCCACTTATAAAAATGTAACATCAAAAAACAATTTTCCCGGGCTAGGGATGTGGCTCAAGCGGTAGCGCGGTCGCCTGGCATGCGTGTGGTCCAGGTTCAATCCTCAGCACCACATACAAACAAAGATGTTGTGTCTGCCGAAAACTAAAAAAAAACAATTTTCCCAAAGCAAGGACATTTGAAAACTTTCACTGTACTCCTATTCCTTCGGTATCAGACATGCTGGGAGAAGGTACAATTTCTCCAAGTTAGAACAAAACAGGCTGAATTTCTTGTGCTGCCTGTTCTGAACCCACCTGGAATGTCACAGAAAATGAATTCAGTTGATTAAATAGGAGCTATCAAAACAATGGCCATTGGAAACATTAAAAAATGCCTTAAGGGGCTGGGTTATGGCTCAGTGGTAGAGTGCTTGCCTTGCATGTGTGAGGCCCTGGGTTCAAACCTCAGCACCACATAAATGAATAAAATAAAGCTATTTAAAAAAAATGGCTTGGGGCTGGGGTTGTGGCTCAGCAGTAGAGTGTTCACCTTGCATATTGGAGACCCTGGGTTGGGCCTCAGCACCACATAAAAAGGTATTGTGTCCAACTACAACTAAAAAATAAATATTTTTTAAAAATTAAAAAATAAAAAATAATTACTTAAGCCAGTTGGGCATGATGGCACATGCCTGAAATCCAGCAATTCTGGAGGCTGAGGCAGGAGGATTTGAACGTCTGAGGTCAGCCTCCACAAATTAGCAAGATGTGATCTCAAAATGAAAAATAAAAAGGGTTGACCAGGGCTGGGGATGTGGCTCAAGCGG